TATCACAGTGAGATGAGAAATGAACCCTGGTGGTAGACCGACAGACGAACAAATGGACAGCGGCTGCGGAGTCTTAGTAATAAGTTCCCATTTTTACCATTTGGGTAGGCTCAAGGCGTGATGTGACCAAGGGAAGTGGCGATTCATTCTATATGTAGAGAAAATTAAAGTAGTTAAGTACCTTCTTTAATCTTCTCCGACGCACCAAGCTGGAGTATAATAAAACACTAATTTTGACTAAATATTTTGATGTTAAATCAATCAATCCAATGTAAGTTTGCTTAATCAATGACATAACAGTAGATACAATTGCATTAACTTTGTCTCTGAAATATATGTACCAGTTACAATTGCAAGCATTGTGTCTTTGATATCATTAGATAACTTTATAATGTTTTTGATTAAGCATATTCTTTTAATGTTCAAGAAACATATTGCCCCATCTACTGATGAATTGATTTTGATATCTTACAATAGCGTTAACATTGCCAAAGGAATAAACACGCATGCCAATGTCGGGTTCAAGCAATCTGCCAGAGTTAATTATGAAACAGTCTCAAGAGGGTTTCCTTCAATTGAACTGTGCATTAGACGGTATCTTCTGTCTCCCTCAATCTGTTAATATTGAATGGAAATGGAACGATCGCTTCTATACAATATGAGCCTTTCGAATGCAATGCTGTTGAATTTATTTCATCAGATTGCTGTTGAATTTATTTCTGAGCACTAGTTCCGAAGGCTGGCTTTATTGTACTTTATTACACCTCAATTCGCGTATAAAATGTCAGTCAGGTCAGTTTAGGCTGTTTAGTTTGAACTGTTTCTTTTTTTTTATTGTAAGAGATCCACGCATCGAGCATTTAAAATTGTGGCTGTCCTGTCAAATGAGCGGAAGGGATCGAAACAGCGTAGGAGTGTTATTATGTTCCTTGCGGGTGCGCGGACAGTCAGCAACGGTTGCCGCGACCACACCCCCACTCCCGGCGTGCATTGCATTGGGGGGGGGGGCTGCGGTCCTCAGAATGTACGCCGGGTGACCGGTGCAGGAGTATTGTCTAGTTTTTAGTGGCCCTGTTCAGGGCGTTAGATAGGCCCCTGCTCATTTCACCCGGTCCAAAGATTGGCTGTAATGAGCAGGGAGGAGTCCCATATACCATCTTCTCGCTCCCCCGCTAGTTGAAGGATGCATAAGACATTTCCCAGACAAAAAAAAGGAGTGTCAGTTATTATGTTAATTATAATTTAGCCGTATCATCCATGGAGGATATTATGGTTAAAAGGACTTTTGTAATTCTTTTGTAAGACTTTTTTTTTTTTAAACTTTTATCTTGCGATCGGTCTTCTCGTCTATGAGCAGATTAGTTATTCGAGATAAGATGCAGAGTCTGGTGTTCCTTTGAGCATCCAACTCCTCTATAAAATAGCTTAAGCTGAGTTCTCCATGTCCGGTAATTTGCGCCTTTTCATACGTCTTACGGTATCAGGTTATTAGGACATTGGATGTTTTAATATTAGCAATAAGCTGTTGCCAAATCTTGCTTAGAGGTTTCAAAGCATGGGTGTGGAGTAGATAAATTAAAAAATAGTTCTTAGATCGAGAAGGTTAAACAAAAATAAAATCTGTCTTTAATATAACTTAGAAGATATAATATATAAAATAGGTCTGTCTTTTATAGTTTTACGTCTAAGCCGCTTAACCGATTTTTATTAAAAACTAGCGGCCCGCCCTCGCATCGCTTCGGTGTAGAGCTGTAGTGTAGATTTTAAATGACTCTGCATATAAGTAATTATAAAAAACTGAAAATGGTATATTTGACTTTTCCAAACTTCTATTGACATCACGTCGCTCAATTATTTTGCCTTCCCAGAATCTCTCCACTAACATTTGAAATTTATGGTATGGTATTAAAGTTCAATTTGACTTTTAAGTATTATTACGAATCGTTAGTATGGGAGTATAGAAAATTGTTGTTTTTGGACATTTTCAGACTTTTTTTTTAATTTTTCTCTGCGTTAGAACCATCCTCGTACTTCAAGGAATATTCTAAAAAAATAATTATCGAAATCGGTTTAGCTGTTCTCGAGATTCGCTTAGCAACACATTCAGCGATTCATTTTTATATTATAGATAGATGTGTTCTTGTTTGAGTAGTGTACGTGTGTATGCGCCGTATACGAGTGTAAATACACGATACAAATAAACATGTTGTTACCTTTGTAATAAAATAATCTCTATAACATTAACCTATTAAATAAAATTGGAATCATTAAAACTTCATTCATCCGTTTCACCATAAAGAGAAGTTTGGCAAATTCATAATTAAATCTGAAAACTCATTAAGACTAAGACGGCTAAGAGAAGAAAATTAAGATTTTCGACAAGACGATATCAACAAGTAAAGGTGAGGTAGGATTATGAAGGACTTTTATTTAATTTCATAAGTAGTAAGTTTAAATTATTAAATATGGGGCCAGTAAATTTTAATCGATATAGCATGTGTCTAAGGATTTAGTCCCTTCCAATAAGTTCCTTAAGTTAGCACAGATAATTTAGCTTACAGCTTCTTAAACGGTTCCTTAAAAAACATTGAATTTTAATAATGCAAACCAAACTTTCCTTATTAAGTACATTTTTTTATTCAGCTAAGAACCTATAACTATGCATTAAAGACAGTAAAGTCAAAGAAAACACGTGTTTCCTATAAAACTGTTAAGTTTGAAGTTACTATATCGCCGTATCTATTAATCTTAAACGTGATTTTATTAATACTTACTTTAATTTATATTCACTTAAATAGCATTTAAATATAGCTGTCACAAGAGTTAATCAAATTTGACTGTTATCTTCTTTTGTTTGCATAAACGAATGTCTATATCTTAGTTTAACGTTCTACATAAAAAAGAATAAGTTTTCTACTATATTACTGAAATTTACAACAAAATATTTATTTTTCATATGTATGAGCAATCGCTAGGTAGGAATAAAAAATAAACGAATGTCTATATCTTAGTTTAACGTTATACACAAAAAAGAATGAGTTTTCTACTATATTACTGAAATTTACAACAAAATATTTATTTTTCATATGTATGAGCAATGGCTAGGTAGGAATAAAAAAATCAAAGTTGTAAAATATGGGGAAAATATTTGTATGGCAATTTTGCGGAAACAGTTTTTGGCATAAGCCAATTATGATTATAATTTGACCGCGTTTTAAGTAGTTCATAAAAATATTGTGAACGCATCTTTTAAACACTGTCCATCATTTTTATTCCTCAATAAGAAAATGAGGTATACAATGCAACGTATTAAAATTAAGTTTCAATAACTTCACACACTTACACACCCACATCTTCAAGCCGTATTCCGTTTCAAAGTTCTATATTTAAATAAGGATATAGGTACATTACATTTTACATACGGACTTTACAGCATTGCACGTCAATTGCAAAGAATAGGAAAATTGAATATATCATATAATAAGTATAACGTAGACTTACATCACCATTGAGATTTTAATCAATGATAGATGATTATATTGTTTGACGCGGAAACATCAATTGTTGAAAAGTACGGGTTAGTTAATACCTACAAAAGATGTTTTCCTCAAAATTGACTTTATTTATTCTGATGACTGAATTTATTTATTCTGATGATGCATTACTGAAATGCGAAACGTCAATAAATAAATAAATTCAGTGCATTTAACCCATAAAAACTGTTTTATTTAATGAGTGATGTGCGTGAAAACCTAAGAAACAAAAAGTAGTAACTTCATACAATTTTAATACAATAAAGTTTGAGTAGGTACCTACTAAATAATTTACACTCTACGTTGCCAATTACACTAGTTTACAAAAAATAAAAAATTTCATGTTATTAAGTGACAATAACTAAACGCAATCATATATTTGTTTTATTTTTATTACGTCAAAGGATCAAGTTATCAACATATTTTATTTTAAGACTACCCACAAGTTGGTTCTGAATTCATCCTAAAATTTTGCTGCTTTGTAGTGTTTAGTTAAATAAATATTTGTTTTTAAAATGTCAAAAAAGTTGTATAAAGTACATTTCGACCGTTTTTGTTACATTTGTGGTGAACTTATTATATCTAACAAAGGATATCCCATAACGGAATCTCAAAAAGAAGCATATTTTCGTTATTTCAAAATTTCGGTCTCTCACCAGGACAAAATATGGGCTCCTCACGTTTTTTATGAAAGATGTAGAAAAACTCTAAGCTCTTGGGCTGCAGGTGCAAAAAGATTTTTGTTATTTTTAATATGCCAGTGATATAGAGGGAACCATCCAACCACGAAAATGAGTGTTAATTATATCTCACCGAGACATTTGGTTTTAATCAGAAGAACAAAGATAAAATTATATATGCAGATGTTCCTTTGGTTACGAAACCTATCTACAGCTCAGACAAGCAACAAGTTCCAGCACACCATTGATTACTAACGCAAAAGATCAAATTCAAATAAATATAAAATAGCTTTTGGTCAACAAAAAAAAATGAAAATAACAGACAGTTACTTGCTGATTTATAACATAATTTTCAACGAACGTGTGTCACCATGTCTCTGAAAATTCATTTTCCTCATTCGCACCTTGATTTCTTTCTTGAAAACCTCGCAGAAGTCAGCGACGAACATGGAGAGCGTTTTCATCAGGATTTGGATTTTTTTAAACAAAATTAATTAGGGTACTGGGACCAAGCCATGTTAGGTGATTACTGCTGGTGATATTTGCAGTTATAAGATACACAGACTCAAATAATTTCAAGAAAAAATCTAAGGCAATTTTTTTTAATATTTTTGTAGGCATTTTTTAGGTAAATTAAAAATAATAAAATTTTGGAAATGATACGTGTAGGATTTTTTTCATATATTTTTTTAAATTCGGTGCATCTCAAATGATAAGAAAAAACACTTTTCATTGCAAGGACAAAAACTATGTAAACTAGTGTTATTATTGCATATATTTATGACTTTTAAGAGACTTGGTTTCTAAAAAAAGGTTTTCATCGATTGTGCTGAAAAACGTTGGTAGGACCACTTTCCCGGGCTAAGATTACAAAGCCTGATGAAAGATATTCCCTTTAGGCTTCCTACGCCGGTCGTTATTTACGTGGGGCCTACGTCTAATGTAGGTTTCTTTAGCGAGAAAATAGTCGGTATCACATACATCGGGCAGAACATATCTGATAGAAAACGGATTGGCACCGCACCGTGTCGACTTGAGCCGTGTAGTATTTAGTAATTTGTATGAAATTTCATGCTGCATTGCACACTAACCGATACTGTAATTCCATTTTTTAAACGAAGTATAAGCTTGGATTGGTTACTCCATGTTTTGCCTCTGTTCATTGAATTACAAATTACATTTAAGTGTTCATTTGAGTGATATGAACAAAACATGGCGTAACTAGTCTAAGCTTAATCCTCGTTTATTAATAGAGAAGTAAAGGCATGGTATCTCTTCGGTACGCGCTTATGCTTTGTCGTCTACCCGCTAAGTATTGTCTCTTCTACCAGCTGATTCTTTAGTTATAAGGTTAGAACACATATGTTAATGTAATACGTATTTGCATATTCGGTCCACTTCAGTAAAAGCCTCAATTTAAAGCGGAGACCAATATACTCGCGAGCGTGTCCATTATTTATAATTAGATAGGCAAATGCCTATTCATACGTTTAACCTAACCTTACCAAATATATTAAAATGTAGACGCAAAAGATAGCTAGTGTAGCAGTTTTATTTGCTTACATATTTATTCTCGCCTCTTTTCAAGGACCCTAGGTTGAAGAATATGTATGCGGACAAAGAATTCCACTTGGTATAGTCAATCTACTGAACTCCTTGCTCGTTGACTAGCGACTTATCAAGCAGCAGCATCTCATCGTCGAGCACGGTGACGAGTGAGTCGGTGCAGCAGGTGTTGGTGTTGTCGATGGAGATGTGCACCGAGGCGCAGTCGGTGAGAGCGTGCGGCAGCTGCTCAGCCACCCGCCCGTTCGAGTCCAGCCTGCTCTAGGGCCTAACCCTTGTCAATCTACTAAACTCCTTGCTTGTGGGCAAGAGGACAAGCATCTTACCGAGCAGCAGCGTCTCGTCGTCGAGCGCGGTAACGAGCGAGTCGGTGCAGCAGGTGTTGGTGTTGTCGATGGAGGTGTGCACCGAGGCGCAGTCGGTGAGAGCGTGCGGCAGCTGCTCAGCCACCCGCCCGTTCGAGTCCAGCCTGCTCTAGGGCCTAACCCTTGTCAATCTACTAAACTCCATGCTTGTGGACTAGAGGACAAGCAACTTACCGAGCAGCAGCGTCTCGTCGTCGAGCGCGGTGACGAGCGAGTCGGTGCAGCAGGTATTGGTGTTGTCGATGGAGATGCGCACCGAGGCGCAGTCGGTGAGAGCGTGCGGCAGCTCCTCAGCCACCCGCCCGTTCAAGTCCAGCCTGCTCTAGGGCCTAATTCTTGTCAATCTACTAAACTCCTTGCTTGTGGACAAGAGACTTACCGAGCAGCAGCGTCTCGTCGTCGAGCGCGGTGACGAGCGAGTCGGTGCAGCAGGTGTTGGTGTTGTCGATGGAGATGCGCACCGAGGCGCAGTCGGCGGGCGAGTGCGGCAACTGCTCGGCGGACTGCGCGGCCACCCGCCCGTTGGCGAGCCGCAGCGATGCCGCCCGCCCGCCGGTCCCTGTCGCTGCGCCGCCTCCACCATCTTCGCATCTGTCGCAACAAACACCAGAAATGAGTCCATACATTAATACTTACTAATATAAAACAAAAGAATAGTGATGACACCTGTTAGGGTGAAGGCACAGACAGAGTTCTATCTACATCTGTAAAGTGAAACAAATGTTTTGCGAATTAAAACATTACAAAACAAAAGTATAAAATATCAACTGATAAAACTTGTAGTTTTATATGATGCATGTTGCTTAGACTTATTTGATGTGGATATTTCACATAACGTGAACCTTGCTGGATTGACATTTGATTACTCCGTGCGGTGACGGAGAAAGAATACAACTCACCGCCCCTTCTCTTCCCCTTGGGTGTCGTAAAAGGCGACTAAGGGATATCGGAGCTTCCATCCGCTCCTCTGGTGGTAGGGTGCCTAACACCCGCCTGGTTTGCTACCACCGTGCGCATGGTGAAAAACCCGTGAAGTGCTTCGGGGTCAGCCAGCGTACAACCAGGGCTCGAGTGGAGGTTGTCGCGACGGATTCGGTCCAGGGCGAGGCATCCGTCGAACCGATGCCGGGAGGACTGCATCGACCCGCCGGCCAGGGAGACCCGTAGAAACGGCTGTCCCGCTGGCCGCCCGTGGCACAGTACAGGGGCCCGAGCGTTCCTAACCAGTTCGCGAGGCTGCCCTATCATGTCACGCATAATCTCGGGGTGGACCGTCGTGCCGGTTGGTGACCGGGGCATGGGGTCCCGGCGGCCACTTCCGGGAGGGTGCGGGGGCCCTTCCGTCCGGCGGGTCGGCGTATATCCTCTGCAGGCAATCATTCGGGGAAACATGCCTTCCTAATTTGCCCGGTCTTGTCGCGACAAAGTCTACTCGTTTCACGTCTCTTTTTTACTTCCATAATGGCAGCTCTTAAAACAAAGTTTGGACGTTCAGCGGTGCACACCCCCACGCCTTCAACGCTGTTTGAGGTCGAGTTCTGCAACATACGCGGACTCCACTCTAACCTCAATGCTGTCCACCACCACCTTGAGACAGCACGGCCAGCATTGTTGTTCCTGACGGAGACACAAATACTTCCGCCTGCTGACACAGGCTACCTTAACTATCCCGGCTACGTGCTTGAAGAGTCCTTCAAAGCGAAAGCCGGTGTATGCCTGTATGTTCGGGCGGATGTTTGTTGTCGCCGTCTCCGCTGCTTGGAAGATCCCACCTTCTCCATATTGGGGGTACACGTCGACTCAGGTCCCCAGGCCAGAGTCTACGTGTGCCTCTACAGATCCCATACTGGTGATGTTGAGACAACTCGACTTTTCGAACATCTTAGTCGGGCAGCAGATGACGCGCAGGAGCAATTTCCCAATGCAGAATTGGTGTTTTTGGGGGACTTTAATGCTCACCACAATTTGTGGTTAAGTTCCTCGAAAACTGATCATGCAGGGATCTCTGCTCACGCGTTCGCTCTCACGCATGACTTGGAGCAACTGGTTGATCAGCCCACCAGGATTCCAGATATTTCAAGTCAAGCGCCTTCATTGCTGGACCTTCTGCTCACGACCCATCCACAGGGCTATCAGGTTGTGGTAGGAGCCCCACTGGGCTCTTCAGATCACTGCCTGATATCTGCCAAAGCGCCACAGGCTAAACCTCCGCGTTCAACGGTGGTAAAACGCCGGATCTGGCACTATGGGTCAGCAGATTGGGACGGTATGCGTGACTACTTTGCGTCCGTCCCTTGGAAGCAGCGCTGCTTCAATGACAAGGACCTATCGGCCAGCGCCGTTGCTATTACTGAGGAGATTGTAATGGGTATGGAATACTATATTCCTCATTCCAATCTCATCAGTAAGGGCACACGTAACCTCTGGTTCAATCACGACTGTGCTGAAGCTGCTTCGCGTAAGCAAGCGGCATATCGTGCTTGGATCAGAGGCCGCGCTCTTAAGGATCCCGGGGTCGATTCACTAAAAGCAGCCTACAATATTGCTTCCAAGGCCTGTAAGAAGGCATACATCAGAGCGGATGCCCAGCGCGTTGCACGTGTTGGTCACGAACTTATAACGCATCCTACGGGCTCCCGTAGCTATTGGCGTTTGGCCAAGGCCGTGCAAAAGAACTTCTGCCAGCCCTCGCTGCCACCTCTGAGATGTCCAGACGGAACACTAGCTCATAAGCCGCAGGAGAAAGCCGATTTACTGGCAAAACTCTTTGCGGCTAACTCCCGAATCGATGATTGCAATGCACTGCCACCATTATTACCTCATTGTGGCACAACGATGCCTGATATCAAAATCAGGCAGCGTGAGGTTCGTGCCGAATTGCAATCACTCGACGTCCGGAAAGCTAGTGGACCTGATGGCATCCCAGCAGTAGTATTGAAAAAATGTGCAGCGGAGTTGTCTCCCGTGCTCACGCGTTTGTGCCAGTGCTCGTATTCTTTGGGGCGTGTGCCGGAGACTTGGAGAGATGCTTACGTGCAACCGGTACCCAAAAAAGGGGATCGCTCAGACCCGGCAAACTACCGGCCAATAGCAGTCACCTCAGTATTATGTAAAGTCCTAGAAAAGGTCCTTAACAACCATGTGACCCGCTACCTAGAGGATCACTCCCTGATTAATGATCGTCAATATGGTTTTAGACCGAAACGATCGACGGGTGATCTTCTAGCGTACTTGACTCATATCTAGGGTGAGGCTATCGACAAGCGGGGCGAGTCGTTGGCTATCAGCCTAGACATTGCCAAGGCATTCGACAGGGTCTGGCACAAAAGCCTTCTCTCCAAGCTTCCGGCATACGGTCTGCCGGCCCAGTTCTGTTCTTGGGTAGCTGACTTCCTGCATGAGCGTAGAATTCGTGTCCTTACGGATGGTAGCAGTTCGCGGTTCATGTCAGTGAATGCCGGCGTTCCCCAGGGCTCCGTCCTATCCCCCACTCTCTTTCTGCTGCATATCAATGACCTAATTCCTCTTGGGAATATTCATTGCTATGCAGACGACAGTACAGTGCATGCGGGGTATCTCGGACAAGCAGCGGCTGGGCAGGCGGTAACCAAGGAGAAACGGGAGAATCTTGTCATTGAACTCAATCAGGCTTTGGACCACATTTCTGAATGGGGTACCAAGAACTTGGTTGAGTTCAATGCTAAGAAAACCCAGGTCTGTGCTTTCACGGCAAAAACGTCGCCATTCCTTTTATGTCCTTCTCTTCAGGGCACAACACTGGAGCTAGTGAGCAGTATCACCATGCTCGGTATGGAGATTCGCTGTGACTTAAATCCAAAAAATTACATCGAAAGTGTGATAAAAACAGCCTCACGCAAACTCGGAGTCCTGAACAAGGTGCGGCGTTATTTCACGCCCGAGCAACTATGCTTGTTATATAAGACGCAGGTTCGGTCTTGCGTGGAATATTGCTCGCACCTCTGGGATGGCTCCGCCAAGTACTTGCTCGATGCTTTGGATAGGTTACAGCGGCGCGCAATACGCATCATAGGTGAGGAGGAGGTGTCTAAACACCTCGAGCCTCTTCAATTACGCCGTGACGTGGCGTCACTAAGCGCGTTCTATCGTCTGTACCACGGCGAGTGTTCTGAGGAGTTATTCTCTCTTATTCCACCTTCCCCTTTCCTTCAGAGGACCACGCGCGCTGGCTTACGTTGTCACCGTCTAACTGTGGCTACAATTCCAACGCGTACAAAGAAATTTGGTGACTCATTTCTTTGTCGTACTATCCGTAAATGGAATGCTCTGCCCGCTCACGTGTTCCCTCCCTCTTACAACCTGGGATCCTTTAAAAGAGGCGTGAAGAAGCAACATGCAGGCCGGCAGGGTGAGGATGGCTGGTGTGGCAGGTAGAACTGCTGTATCAGCTATCTTCGCGTCTGGACTTCACCTCCACTTAACATCAGGTGGGGTGGAGTCATTTGTCGGACCTATCTATAAAAAAAAAAAAAGGTAGGATAAGGTGCACATAACATAGAGGCTTTATTGGTGTCGAAACAAAGCTGGTCTTTTTCACAACTTAGGGTGAATTTAAAATTATATATATGTAGTTCAATCTAATTTGTCTGTAGTTCTGGAAATCATTAAATATATAGAATTGATTGGTAATCGATCATAATGATAAATACGAGTATGTTAACTTTTCAGCATTGAGCGGAAACCAATACTTTTATGTCTTTGTTTTCTATTTATAAGTTGACTAGTGGGTGCCCACGACTTCCTCTGCGTGAAAATGGGTTTCTCATACAAAGTCTCATCACGCTTTTCATCCCCTTAAAGGTTGATTTAGTGAATAAAAGTTATCCTATATCCTTTCCCGACTGAAACTACCAATATACCGAATTTAATTTAAATCTGCTCATCGGTTTAAGCGTGAAGAGGTCAGACAGACAGCCAAAGCAGACATACACACTTTCGCATTTATAATATTAGTACCTATATGGATGGATTGAACAGTATTTTGTTGCTGTGTAAACCTCGCAACTCTGTATTTTAATTCATAATTTTGGTGAGTTAATGTAACATGCAGAGTTTTTATATTAGTTGTTTCAGAGGACGTCTTCAAGCTATAAAGAATCTTTTTAAAACCGTCGTAAATCTGCATAGTATTTCGTATTCTTTCGTTTTAAAGCAGTAAAGTCGTTAAGTGAAACAGTGCATGTTAGTCGTTTTAATAAAACGAAAAGCAGTAATAAAGTTTACTCTACAAAGTTTAATAATACTGAACTGTATAATTTTTCAAAGTTGTTCAATAGTTTTTAGGGTTCCGTAGTCCTGATAACGAACTCTTATAGTTTCGTCATGTCCATCTGTCCGTCCCGGTTTTGCTTGGAGACTAATAGCACTAGACAGCTGTAATTTTGTGGAGATATGTATATCGATCACGCCGACAAAATGGTAGATTTTTTTTTATATTTTTTAGTGTAGCTCCCCTACATGTAACCTGGAGATGATGTTTTTTTCTTCATCTACCCCATCGTGTGTGATATCGTTGAATAGGTTCTTTAAAATTACTTAGGGGCTTTGTAAAACTATTTTTCGATTTAGGGATCCGTTTGCGAAATAT